ATCCGGAGGAATTCACTCACCTCCAGCCCCAGCCGGGAATCCGGGTCGGGCGCCGCTTCCGGCAGCGCTGCTGCGGGACCTGCGCGTGAGTGTGAGTGCGAGTGCGAGCGCGGGGACGAGTGTGCGCGGTGCCCGGCGGGCTCGGCGCGCCCGGCTGTGGCTCGGTGCGTGTCGTGTGTCTGTGGCGTGGCCCGTGCGTGTCTGTGAGCGAGCGTGTGCGCGCGGACACGGCCACCGCGCCTCCCTCCGCCGCGGCTCTGCCTCGGCGGGGCCCGCCGCCTGGGAGGGGGCCGGGACGCGGCGTGCGTCAGGGGCCGCGGCCGGGGGGCTGCCGTCCGCCCTCGCCGGCCCGGCGCGCGGCTGCCTCCGCAGGCCTTTCCGCAGCGAGACCCCTCCCGCCCCCTCTCCCGGCTGGGTCCTTCCACGGACACACGCACGCTCACGGCGGACACAGCCGCGGGGCGGGCGCCGCCACGGGCTTTGCCGCTGCAGCTGCGGCGCCCGGAGAGGCGGCGGCGGCACCGCGGACCGCCGAGCTCCGGGCACCCGCCGGGCGCGTCCCCGGCCCCGCCCCGCCCCGCAGCCGGCTCACCTCGCGTGGTAGGGTCCCGCGACGGCGGCCGCGCATTCAACAGCTGGAGGGAAACTTGCCGCGGGGCGGGCCGCCCAAGAGGCGCAGCGCTCCCCAGCGCCCGCCCGAGGACGCCCTCGCCCTCCGAATACACCTAGATCGTGGACGCCCTCCTCACCTCATCAGACGTGGAGTCGGCTGCTGTGTTCCCATTCCACAGGCGAAACAACTGAGGCTCATTGAGAGGAGTGACTCCCCAAGGTCACATAGTGAACTTGATATCAGAGACACTATTAGACTCCAGGTCTCTACCCTTGTGCCAAAACTCTTGGCCCACCTCTCTGGGAGAATGCCCAGGGGGGATACCGGTTCCGAGGCAGCCTGAGACACTTCCTAAAGTGTCCGAGGCAGCCTGAGACACTTCCCTCCCTGGCCGATGTCCCCACACCCAATGCGCTACCTGCAGAGGTAGACACTATGGGAAGGAGAGAAGGTAGGAGATGCAAAAAGAATTTCTGGCACCCCGGGTCTGTACCCCTGCACTTGGGCACAAAAGCACCGGGGAGATTCGGCTTGGGTCACATGTGGAATCAGGCACCTTCTCTGTCCCTGGGACCTGCAATCCACAGGCTAAAGCCCTGCCTGGAGCCGGCCCTGTGCATCTCAGTCTCTTTTATAGGGCCGCATGCACCAGTGCCTGTCCTCCGGTAATGCACGGCAGAACATGTCTGGCCGGCAGGAGCTCCCAGCAGGAGCTTCTCATCCAGGCCAGAAATGGCAGATACTCCCTAGAAGAAGCCACTGCCAGAGCTGAATCTTGACGGATGAGTAGGAGTTGGTCAGCTGAAGAAGGTGGAGAAAGATGTCTTAGGCTGCAGGAACAGCATGTGCAAAGGCCCGGAAGTATGAAACCACCTGAGGTGTGTAAGCAGGGAACTCCACAGAGTTGGGTATTACTAGAGCAGAAAGAACGTCTGTTCAGAAATTCCTCCTTCTTGTAAACTAAGAAAGCAGGATAATAGGAAAGCAGGTCCAGTATGGGACTGGAAGGGCAGACAAGTACTGGGATGTGGGCCATGGTTATCCCAAGAAGGAGACAGACTGCTAGGTGTTCCACCTTAGCCTTCCACAACTATACTTCAGGCTCCCTGGCACACTCCTATGCAACCTTCAACACCCCTCACTGCAGACCCCAACAAGTCATTGTGCTCTCTCTGCCCTCCTAGAGGTCAGGGGCCGTCCTGAACACATTGCGTGTTCTTCGTGCAGGCCTGGTCATGAAGCTGGGTCCCAGCTGGAAGTCCTTGCTGGCGGAGCCCCCACTGCCCCGCCCACATCACACCGAGACTCAGCGGCACCAGCGCCCTCTGGCGGATATCGCGCGAAACTGCAGAGAGCTCCCTCATGCACCCAGGGGCTGCGATTCTCACACGCAGACCCTTTTCAGAGGTGGACACTGGCGGAGGCCCACCGACCCGGTCCGGCCTAAGAAACTGAGCAGTGATCCCAGGCAATATCAGGGAGCGGGCAGCAAGACGGCTTCTTCTGGCCCGTTGGCATGACTTTCCCAGTCATCTGCCAAAGGGCAAGTCACACCGTCTGAACCTGCTTCCTCTTTGGTGAAATGAGAATAGCGAAGGCAGCCCTGTCGCCAGCACAATGCTGGGCTCGCCCGCGGGACTCCCGACCCCCTCACGACATACAGACATACCTGGATTAGCTCTGAGGGGGGTTTGAGCTCTAAAATGTTCTAAGAATCTCCTTTCGGAGAATTTGCCCTTACCAGACAGACTAAAATTGGCAAGTTGGGAAAACTTTCAAATCCTTAACTGCCACCAGATAGAAGATGGAGTTGGCCCAGGTTAACAGAGGGTCATGGTGGACCGCAGCACCTGAACACCCAGTCGGGCTTTTTCTAGAGACTATCACTGTCCCATAGAACTTTCTGCAATGGTGGGAATGTTATATATCTGGACTGTCCAGTACCATAGTCACTATCCACGTGGCTATGGAGTGCTTGAAATTGTGGCTAGTGTGGCTGACGAACTGAGTATTTAATTTTTGTTTTGCTAATTTAGATTTAAATAGCCAGATGTGGCTAGTGGCTACCATGTTGGATAGTGAAGGTCTCAAAAGACAGCAACTGCCTCACTAAAATAGAGCCCAGAGAGAGCTAACACACACACACACACACACACACACACACACACGCACGCACGCATGCACGCACAGCACTCTGAACACAGTGGCCAGGCCCCAAGGTGGGGATAAGGAGACTGCTTGGAATCTTGAGGTAGGCAAGTAAGACTGAGACAAATATGAGGACAGTATGTCCATCTCCATTGTCTCTGTCCTCCATTACTTTGCCGTCTTTCACATGGACACCTGCAACAACCTCTCTCATCACCCACCTATTGAAACCCTCCAGTAGCTCCCCAGAGCTAGTGCAGGGATGCAGTGCATTTTGTTTCTCATGGCAGTGCCAACTGATTGGCAGCAGCTGCCTGGTTACTCCCTCTGCAAAAAGTGTCGTGATCAATTGGTGATGTCTGCCATAGGTGCAGGCAGAGATGAATGGTATGCCCTCTCTGCTAGGGAATAAAATCCAAGCTCCTTAATTTGCCAAATAAGGCCTTTGTACTCTGGCCCTTATTTACCCCTCCAGCATCATCTCGTGTCACCCCACACATACTCTGCGTCCCACTGACACCAACATCTGCCCTTTCCAGAACATGCCATGAATCTCTCACCCCATTACCTTCACACCTTTGTGCTTTTGATCTGCTGTTACCTCAGCGTGGAAGCCTTTCCTCCTCTCATATTCCTTCTCCACCTGTCTACTTGGAGTCAATCATTAGGTACTGTTCAAAGGCTGCCTCCTCAGAGAAGTCTCTCCTGACTGGTGATCAGGCTGCCTCTGCCACTGGCTCCTGGGTCACTGTGTACAGGCCTTCATGACAGCATGCATCCCATATTATGATTAATTTACATGTTTCCTCCCGTGACTTATTCCTCCCTCCTCTAGCACCTCCATCACAGTAAATACAGTGTAGGAGGGCTCCTCAGGCCAGGCACAGTGCAGACCCTTCCTCATACATTGTTCTCCTTTTTAAGTCACCAAAAGTAGACAGTAAGGGGTTTTGTTCTGGGCACCCTGCATCTAGCTCCTTTCCCACCAACACCCCAGCTTCCTCTTTCCCCACTGCCATGTACAGCCTTGGTGAAATGTGAGTCAAGCAGCATCCACCTAACCCCCGCTTGGCTAGTTGAGTCATGGGTGGAGTGATGAGAGGACAAGAAAGACAGCCAAAGCAGAACCATCCCAGAAGCCTCAGCGCCAGATGTCAGGGGTATTTCCAGCTACCTGGGCCCCTGTCCTAAATCCCAGAACTCTGTCAGCTCTGGGGTCTCCCAGTGGTATGTGGGAGCTGCCTTCAATAGCCCACCAAGGGCCTTTTTCCTTTGAGTTACCCATCAAACTGGTTCCAATCCAAATGACCCCGCAGCCCTGGCCACATCATCACAGAACATTTTTCCAGGAGTGCTCCTTTTCTGCAGGGCTCAGAACAGAGCAGTGAGGACAAGAGGGACCAGGGATGTTACAAGCCTCCTGCACAGTTCAAGGTGAACAACAAGGTCTGCCTTTAGGTGAATTGTTTTTCACTTGGTCCAAATGGCATTTCAAGCTGATGCTAAGAAAATTAGCCGAAGCAATTCTTTTAGAGACACACACACACACACACACACACACACACACACACACACAGAGTGTGGATAGGGCATCTCATTCATGTTTTAGATCCAGACCAAAAATCAGATTTTCTGCTGTGCCTCCAATCCTAGAACCAAGAGCCACAATACCTGGAGACAGGAACCAATAATGAGACCCAGAACCCAGAAGGGGGAAAAAATGAAGACTTGCCCCCAAAACCTCTGTCCCTTGCCTACCATGGAACCATCCCAAGTGGAATATGAAGACATGAGACTGAGCTGCCCTCTCAGGAAACCGGGTCGTCTTATTTTGTTTTACTGAGCACTGTGACAGGTCAGGACACGCAAGGGTGAAGGCAGAGGCTAGGGAACAAATAACTCCTGGGCCTAATAAGGATGAGAGGATGGGAGCTGGGGGGTTAGGAAAGGTGGGTGGGAGGCAGGAGAGGCTGCAGGTCAGGAGGAAGGTGAGAGGGAGGGGCCCCCAGGGGAGACCTCGCAAAGGGATTTTGGAGAACACACATACATTTCTAAAGGGGATTTCACGTTATTTTGCTGTGGAATGTGCGGTGTGAACGCCCACCCCCCACCTCAGCTTCCCCCACCTTCCATCCCTCACTCCCGTTAGAAAAGCCTACATGTTTTTCATGGGAGTCATCGATTCCCATGAATCGATGTGAGGTGTATAACAAATCACCTCACAACTCAGTGGCTTAAGTCAGGAAAAAAAAAATTATTATTGCACAGTTTCTATGGTCAGGGATTTAGGAAAAGGTGATTCTGGCTTGAGATCTCTCCGAACGTTGAGTCGAGCTGTTGGCTGGGGTTGCACTCATCCGAAGGCTGGACTGTGGTGGAGGTTCTGCTTCCAAGGTGGTTCGTTCACATGGCTGGCAAGTTGGCACTGGCTGTTTGAGAAGGCCTCAGTTCCTGTCACATGGACCTCTCAACAGATGGCTTGAGTGTCCTCGCAGCATGGTGGCTGCTTCACCCAGAGCAAGGATACCAAGGAAGCCATGATGTCTTGTATAGCCCATCCTACTTACAATGCCAGTTTTGCAGTATCCCATTGGCTACAGAGATCCACCTTGTTCATTGTGAGAGGGGACTACACAGGGCGTGGGTTCTAGGGGGAAGGTATCATCAGGAGCCATCCTGGGGGCCCAGGGGGCTTGAGATCAATCACTTATGTTGGGGGAAACTGAGGAAGTTCTGTGTTCTGCATCTAGACTTGCAAAGGACTAGAGGTATGGATGCCAAACTGGAAGATCTGATTCCGTAAAGATTCTATGACTCTGAGAGTCTATAGTCCTCATAGCCCACGAGTCAAGGACAGCTCAAAGTTAATGGGACAGAAGAATGTACCTAAAGGTCACGCTGAGGCTAGACAAAAGTAAGGGGTGGCTAGTCATGTGGCCCTCATGAGAAAGTGCCTTGAGGGCTGGAGGCCAAAGCCACACTCTCTGTGGGATATTTTGAAGTGTCTGGGTGGATACTCTTTGACCCAGAGATACAGTGATGGGAGGGACCCCAGAGAGCCTCATTAGGGATGCTGATGGCACCCTGTTTACCTGCCTTGGAGCTGAGATTCCTGGATGGTGAGGTTGGCCAGCCGGCCTCCCCATGAGTCTCAGTAGAGGAGGCCTGGAGCACGCCCTGGGACAGGGACGGAATGAGAGTGCCCTGTGGACACACCTGGTGCTTCCACTAGAATGTCAGCCACATCTGACCCCCCTGGTCTGTGCCCTGGATGCCCAGCCCCTTGCCAGGTACAGAAGGGGTGCTTGGGGAGGGCCCCGTGAACTGTCCCATCCAATGATGCAAGGGTCAGACTGCGAACAGGTCTGTAGGCACGGACAGCCCAGTGACAGACCACCTCCCCACAGCCTTCTGAGCAGGGAGAGCTGGAGGGGGTAGGGGAGGCTCAGGGCTCTGCACATCTACCTGACTTATGCTGCCCACTAGCCAGAGGCTGCTGAGCCCTTACTCTCAGGGTGTCAGCCATTTGCATCTAAGTACCTTACAGGGGGCTCCAAAATTCTGCATCCAGGGATTCTTCTGGAGCCTCAGGCGTGGGCCCTGCAGCCACAGTAGTGGGGTGGCATGCGTCTCAGCTGGCTCAGCAGCCATGAGGTCAACCAGGCAGCCTGCATTATTAAACCATCTATCTGGCTTGCCCAGAGGGATGCTGGGGGTGGGAGGCAGATTCGCCTCTACTGCCTGAGTCCAGAACTGGGGCAGCCGAAGGCCTCTGGGAGCTGGAGGTCGCTGGCCTCACAGCCAGGCCTGTCACAGCTAACCTGCTGCCAGCTCCAGGGCTCCAGATGCTTCAGGGACCGGAGCGGTGCTGACTGGCTGGTCTCCTCATGTTCTTCCCCTCAAAAACTTTCAGGCTCTGACTCCACGGGGTAACACGCCAACTCCTTACACTGGCAGCTGGAGTCTTCTGCAACCTGGCCATATTTTACCTAGAATCACAACAATAGCTCAGAATGGGGGCGTTTACTATCTCTTTCAGGCTTGCTGCCAAGTGTTCCCCATGAATTAAAGCCTCTGAATAATGACAACAATCCTACAAGGTACTTAACATCGTTATTCCCATTTTACTGATGAGGCTCAGAGTTGCTAAGCAATTTGACCAAGACGGCACAGAGAGGAAGAGACAGCGCCACGATTCACCCAGGTTCTCCGGCTGAGGGCGCCGACCTGCGGTCGCAGGATTCTTGGACTATTTTAGGCTGAGAGTTCCTTCTTAGCCTTTATACCGAATGTTTTCACAGGCTAGAATCCGGGTGACTGAAGGTCCCTGTGGGGGGGTGAATAGTTGTGTGTCCCCTAGGCTCTGTGGGGAATGGACAGTTTGTGCGCGTGTGGCTGCTACCGAGTCATTCAGGCCTAGAACCCAGCGGCCACCTTGATGTCACCTGGACTCCCCGCCCATCTGATCCACCAACTTCTGTCAGCTCTGTCTCCAGAATGTACCCTAACCCAGCCCCTTCTGCCCCCTCCCTGCCACAAAGGCGAGGGCTGAGTCCATTCTGTTCACCTCCAGCTGCTCAGAATCTGGCATACAGTGGGCACTCCAAAATATATATTGAATAAAACAATCAAGCTCATTCTGAGTGAACAAATGAAGACAGGAGGAGTAACCACATGAGGAAAGAAATACACAGGAGAGCAGAAAGGCAGGTGGATTCTGCCCTGGAGGCAGCAGTGGGGCACCTCGTGCACACAGAAGGGTGCTCCAGCCGCCTGCCTGCCTGGCAGGCAGGGAAGGGCACACAGGCAGGACACCTGGGAGGAACAGGCCAGAGGCGTGAAGTGGCCGGGGTGACAAGGGGCAACTGGGACCCAGGAGAGCAACCCAGGACCCCGCCTTATCTCTCCTCAGGCCAGGCAAGGTCCTTCCCAGAACGGGTCCAGGTGCCCCTTCCCCTCCCCTCAGGTAGGGTGGCTGCGTGCCTTCAGCATCCACCCAGGATTCCCCTGGTGGCATCTCTCTCCTCCTGGCCCACAGCCCAGACCTGAGATAAAAAGAGACTTCCGCTCTTTCTCACTCAGATCCTTCTGGTGGCTCTGCCTGTGGCTCCTCGGAAACCATCCCTCCCATCTCCTGCTTCCCCTGACCTCACACTCGGGGCTCCTGACCTGCTCCCCACAGTCACTTCTTTCTCGGAACGAGCGCTAGACAAACCTGGGCATCCCAGACCCCCAGCTGCACCTTAACTTGGCCGGGTTGGACCAGGCCAGTGTTGAGCTTCTGAGGAGGGAATTTTCTGCCAGAGGCTGAGTTCCAGTCCCTCCTCCCGAAACCTGTCCCAGAGCAGAGCCCAGTCTCGGCTGCAACACAGCTCGGGCACCAGCAGGAGGAGGCCGGAACAGAGGGCCGGGCGGAGGAGGGAGTGTGAAGGCGGGTAGGCTCAGTTGAGGCAGGATGCCCCCCGGGACGTCGTGGGAGCCAGGAGGCGAGCCAGGCAGGCATCAGGGCCCCGGCCAAGCAGGCCTGGAGTTCAGGGCAAGCAACAGGCTCCTGGGGGAAGAGAACAACCCCCTCACCGTTTACAGGGGCCTGCCTGTGCCAGGTTACGGACAATATATCCAACTGAAGTTATCAGTCAGGACCTGCTGGTTGCCAGTGACAGAAACCCAACTCGAGCCTAGTATGAACTGAAAGAGGAAATACTGGCTCCCATAACCGGGCAGGGTGGGAGGCTGTGCCTGAAGAAGACCGGGAAGCAGGAAGAGGCCATCTTGAATGGCATCAACATTCTCTCTCTCTCTCTCTCTCTCTCTCTCGCTTAGTTCTTTTGGGCCACAGTCTCCACTGCGGTGCAGCTAGGGGTGCCCACAGCCTCGCAGATTCATGGCAGCAGAAGAGCTTTTCTTCCAATTCCAAGCTGAACGATTTAGGGAAGGACTCTGATTGGCCCGGCTTGGGTTACTTGCTTACCCGTTGAGCCAATCACTGTGAGCCGGGCGATGAGGGCCGTGGCCCAGCCTGGGTGGGGCACCCCCAGCCTTGTCAGCAGGGGAGGGCCTGTCAGCCGAAGAATGGGGGAGGGACACTGGGCAGACAAACACAGTAGCAGCGCTGTGCAGGGTTGTTAGGTTTAGTTCTAATAAACATATTATTGTGGAATAGTTTTAGATTTAGAGAAAGAAAGCGAGGATAGTACTGGAGTTGCTGGAGACCCTCCACCCAGCTTCCCTGAGGGACATGTCACATAACCAGGGCACATTTGGCAAAATTAAAATTAGCACTGGTACATTACTATTAACTAAACTACAGACTTTTTTTGGGTTCATCTGTTTTTCTACTAATACCTGCTTGCTGTTCCTGGATGCCATCTAGAATTCCACGTTGCAGTTAGTCGCCTTTCTCCTCGGGTCTATGACAGCCTGTCATGCTTCCTGTGCTGCTCATGACCTTGGCAGTTCTGAAGGGTACGGGGGTTTTGTAGCATGTCACTTAATTTGGGTTTGAGGTTTTCTCACAATTAGTCTGGGTCACGGGTAGAGTCAAGAGCACAGAAATGTGACGCCCTTGTCATTGCTGTGTATCGGGGGTACGCGACATCTACTTGGTTAAAGCAGCATCTTCCCTCACTCAACAGATAGGGAAACTGAGGCTTGGAGAGGCTGATCTCCTTGCTCTAGAGTGCGTGGTGGGCCAGAATGTGAACCGGGCCTGTCCAACTCCCATTATTCCACAGTTCCTTGGAGTTTTAGACAGGAAAACTGAGGCAGAAGCCCAGCTGTATGGGAAGTGAGAAAGGCTGTGCCACAGAATTTACATGAGCTTTGCAGTGAGAGGACTGAGCCTTAGAATTCTTTGTGGGGGTGGGCGATGCCTGATCAGGACTGGCCTGGGGGACCGGAAGCCATAGTAGACTCTACCCAGGAGGGGTGGGGAAAGGAGACGAGCTGGCACAAGGTGGCTCAGGCAGGTAGGAAGGATGAAGGAAGGAAGGAATGGCATGACTTGGCCAGGAAGCAATCCAGGAAGGCTCTCTGAAAGAGAAGGCTGCAATTGTAGGAAGTGAGGGAGGCAGCTCAGGTGAGACATCCATCATAGGAGGTGAAGGAGCAAAGTGTTTAAGACAGTGACCCTTGGAGTCCAACAAGACTAGGTTCCATTCCTTGTGTCAACACTTCCTAACTAGTGGTCTTGGGCAAAGGACTGCTTCCCTAGCTGATTTGGGGCTTTCTAGTCACCAGGCTTTGCCAGCCCGGCTCACCCACCTGAAATGCTTGTTGCTGGACCAGCTCTCAGACTTTCCCAGCCAGGACCAGCTACATCCTCAGCAAGACCTAGTGGAAAATAAGAATGTGGGACCCCTTGTTCAAAAATTATTAAGAATTTCAAGACAGCAATGCAGAGCATTAAACCAAGTGTGGGTTCCTTCAAGGGCAGGGCACCCCAGGTGACGGCACAGGTTACATGCCCATGAAGCAGACCCAGCCCCCAACCCTCAGTGGCCACCCCGTTCCTGTGACCTAACAGCCACATTTCCTCCACAGTTCCTTGGCCATTAATCACACGCCGCCTACAGACACTGCCCTGGGCTCTGCATCAAGCGGTTGCTTTGCTCTCCCGTGGTTTTCTCCTGTCTTGCCCTGGGTGGAAAGGTGGATGAGATGAACCCCAAGGTGATTCCAACAGTTAAATTTTGATGTCCTTTAATTTTATGGTTCTCATATTTTTTGCCAGGAAGTGTCTGAGCTCCCATGCCTAAGACACTAGGAGCCAAAGGTTCACAGCTTCCTGTGTGTGGCCTCAAAACCCTGGTGTCCCTGAGCAATTTGGAGGTTTCAGATGAAAAAAGGGTTGGAAAAATCTCACCCCCTTACATCTCATAAACTTGAGATGTGAAATTAATTGTGATTTTTTCAGGAATCACCCATTCTTAAAGGTGGTGTGTACTCCAAAGTCTATCCATCTGCAGTGGCGGGTCCAAAGGTACCAACCTTCTCTCCACAGCGTGCTGTTTGCCTGGCTGGCATATTTTACATTTTGTGCATTATCATTTGTTAACTTTTTTTTTCCCCCTCGTTGTCAAGAGGCAGAATATTAGAATCCGTCTACGTGCACGCACCTCTTATCTCTGCCCTGAAAATATGTGCAAGTTGCTTAATTTCTCTGGGGCTCAATTTCCTTATCTGAGCAGTCGAGACTAAATGAGTTGTGTGTCTTCTGCTTGCTATTCTGGCTTAAAAATTCTAGTGTTAAGGAAAAAAAAACACCCCCAACCATTTTATTCTACTCACAGTTTTGTGGATCAGGAATTCTGGAAGGGCTCAGCTGGGCAGTTCTTGCTTGGCATTCTTTCAAATGCCAGCTGGGGTTGCAATCGTCTGGTGGCTCAGCTGGGCTGTGTGGGATGTCCAGGATGGCTCGGACACACAGCTGGCGTCTGGTGCCCACCCTAGGGTGGCAGCTCTGCTGGAGCTAGTGACGTGCTTACCACCAGCATGGCAGAGCCACTGGGGTGGGGCTTTTTACGTGGTGGCTGGCTTCCCCACGGGTCCCAGGAGAACCACATTGCAGAAACTACACGGTCTTTTTGTACTTGGCCTTAGGAATCACAAAACATCACATCTGTTGCCTTCCACTGGTGATAAGTGAGTCACTAAGTCCAGCCTGAATTAAAGGGGGAGGGACATAGATGCCACCTCTTAATAGGAATATCAAAAAATTGGGAGCATGTTAGAAAATTGCCACAATATATCGAAAGCACCTAGAACAGTGCCTGGCACTTAGAAAGCCCTCAAATATGTTTGCTGTTGTGTTATAGCCCCAGATAACAAAAACAGATGGACATTGCAAAATGTTTTGTTGAAACATTAAAGTAGGGATGAAAATATTCACAAAAATTCTATAATTCAGAATACGGCATAACCGTAAATAATGAACAAGATTTTGATATGCCTGTGGAATGTGGAAAGGTATGATTTTGCACAAGCTAAGAAGAAAAGTAAAAATGGAAAGTTCAACCCTAAATTCCTGCAAGTGGAGTGGCATCATACCCCTGACCAAGGTGGGGCCTCTTACATCAAGTTGGCTGCTGATGGCCAGGAGCCTTTGAAGTTTTCACATCATCTTTTCCCCCACAAAACAACAAAGGCACCGCTCTGGGAAACCACTGGAGTGTTTCTAGAACAAGCACAAAATAAAGCTTTCCAGTACAAAATTGATGACTTCCGTCGCTAAAGGCAGAGAAAGCACCAAAGCACAAAGGCATTGTTCAAAGATGCTGGCCTCATAGAAAAGCCAGGTATAAACCATTTATTGCCAGGACCCTTAGAAAGTCAGCCACACAGTGAGGGACAAGTCAGAGGAAACAGGTTACGCTATTGACAAAATTGTTTTATCTTTTATGAAATAACACTATTGGGAGTATGGGGATGGCCCATGAAAGTAATGGCCAATGATGTGGAAGATGGGCAATTATCACACGTGTGTACTGGCAGATATTTCCCTGCACAGATGCACAAAACTGCTGCCTTTGGCACGTGCGTGGGAGGGTGTGGCAAGCAAGCCCTTCCTTGCTCCTAGCTGAACCCCGGCTGCATCTGATGAGGCCATGTGCCCTGCTCTCAGCCAATCTTGAGAATCCTGTTCCTGATTTCCCAGCCTCCCCTACAGCTAGGGGTAGCCGTGCAACCCCATTCTGACCAATAAGATAAGATCTAAGCAAAAGCCACTGATGGGTTTCTAAGCTGGCCTTTCCTTTCCTTTAAAGAAGAAGTCAGGCACAGCTGGTGGAGCCCCACCTTTTTCCCACCCAGAATGCTGCCATAATGCTAGAGCCAACTGTGGCAGCCATCAGTCCACCTCGAGGCTTCCTGCCCTGTAAGGAAAACAACCACATTAGACACAGCTGACCGTTCCCTCTTCCTTGAAACCCTCTCCTCTTGATCTCCTCCCCTAAGTGCAAACTCTCAAAAACAGGCTATTTGTTCACTGCTCCACCCTCACCACCATGGGGGCTCACCACTATCCACTGAATGAATGAAGAGACTTCTGGTTGTCCCCCAATATCTACTCTTTCCATCTTCTACAGAAAAAAGTTTTGTTAAATAGATGGCTGCTCAAAGACTGTATTTTCCAACTTATCATGCAGATATGACAGGATTCTGGCTAATGAAATGAGAACAGAGAGGAATTATGCCATTTCCTATTCATGCCCTCAGAAGGAAAGGTGTTTATCCTTCCCCCCTTTTTTTTTTGTCCTTCCCATAGGCTGGAATATGATGAAATGGCAGGAGCTACAGCAGCCATCTTAAACCAGACAGTGTAGCTACCTGTGGCTGAGGAGAGCCAACAATAAAATAAAAAGCTGCACCCTAATAGCACTGGTTACATTATGCTCAGACTGTTATACAAGAGACAAGTAAACATCTATCTTACTTAAATCAGTTATTTTGGCTTTTGTTATAACAGACAGACCTCTACTCTCAGGAATGCACCTTTACTTTTTAAAGCATTTGTAATTAGATTTTTTCCCAGCATCTGCAGCCTGATCTGTACATACATAAGAAAGTGTCCTCCACGGCTTAAATGGGTGCTGTTCATCATTCAACATTGGTGCCACAGGGAAGGACATTTTTTTATTAAGTTGCTGATTACTCTGGAAGCCCCAGTGTAGACTGGAAAGGGACCCTGGGATTAGGGCTGACTCTCAGCCACCATCCGAGCTAAAAGGAAGGACGCAGCTACGCTGATGAAAGCACTTGCTCAGGAATGCCAGAACTCAGCACTCACCCTGAGCAGCTGGCGGCAGCGCTGTGCCTCCCCATCTTCATTCGGGGCTGAGAGAAGCTTAGAAAATTACAAGTGCAATCAAGCCAAGGCCACTGAGTGGATGTCTTTTAAGCCAGCTGTCAGAAGAGATGGGTCAAACAAAAATCTGCTTTTCCAACCTGAGCAACTCTTGCTGTGTACATTGTTTTTTCTTAAATGCGAGACAAAGTTAAAGTCTTTCTCTGTGAAACAATACTGCCAGTGAATACCATTCCTTTGATTTTAAGGAACCTGACGTGACTATACAGTCAGCACCTTCAATAATCTGACTCTGTCGCCTTGGGGTTAAATTACAATGTTCTCATTTCAAAAGGATACCAGGGTTTTGTAAGACCAAACTGTGGGGCAAATTTCTTGATCCCCAAGAGTCTGACTTCATCCTAGCACTTGACAATTTTCTCCACTGCTCAGGGGTAGAAATCAATGACACAGTAATGAGTACATTAAAAGCCAAGAAGGAACCCTCTCCCAGTGTGAAATGCAACCAAAGCTGGGTCCAGACTGGACCTTTCTGGTTCTCAAGTATGCTGTGTTGGCAATTCTGACGGGCACTAGAAAGAGGCTTCCAAGTGAAATCTAGTCTTTATCACCTCAGAGCTGTGTCCATCCTCAAAGTGACCCCGATCACTACCAGGCACTTGGTAGTGCCTGGCAACCTGTGCTGCGGCTGAGTAATGGGTTGTCTGGTCAGGTGAAATCAAGAGTGAAAGGAAAGCAGCTGCCTGGATGGGAACCATGAGCAGCTGGTCAAGCGAGATTGTCATCGGGCCAGAGGGGGAGGCCGGGCTCATTCGTCCACTTAACAAGTATGACTGAGGGCCTGCTATGTGCCAAGAACACAGGGGTCTAGAGGGTCAATGGTGAACATATGAAAATAAAAGACAGAATGATTACAAACAAAATCATCCCTTGCAATGAAATGAAATGACATTTTTCATTGTGGTAAAATATACATAACAAAATTTACCATTTTTCAGTGTCCAATTCAGTGGTACTATTTACACTCACATTATTGTGAAACCATCACCAACATTCACCTCCAGAACATTTTCATCTTCCCAATATGAAGCTCTGTCACCATTAAACATAACTCCCCTCTCTCCCCAAGCTCCTGATAGTCCCTAATTCTACTTTTTCTGTCTCTATGAACTTGACTCTCCCAGGTGCCTCATATAAGTGGAATCATACAGAATTTGCCATTTTGTGTCTGTTCCTTAGCATGATGTCCCCAAAGTTCATCCATGTAGTAGCATGTATCAGAATTTTATTCCTTTTTTAAGGCTGAATAGTATTCCATGGTGTGGATTGGTTTTCTATTTTTTATATGTTTATATGTTTTGTACTTTGTTTATCCATTCCCCTGTTGATGGACATTTGGGTTGTTTCTACCTTTCGGCTGTTGTGAATGATGCTTCTGTGAACATTGGGTACAAGTTGTCTGAGTCTGCTTTCAGAGTATTTTCAAACTCCTTTGGATACAAACCTAGGAGCGGAATTGCTGCATCATATGGTAATTCTATATTTAACCTTTTGAGGAACTGTCAAACTGTATTCCCCAATGGCTGCACCATCTTACATTCTATCATTAATTTTAAACATATTTTTAGGTTTTTTAATTTAAATTATGACAAATCTTTTAATTTACCTAAGATGGGCAGGTCACGTGGGTACCCTGTGCCATATATAGTCGAAGATGTCAAAGGTCAGAGCAAGGCTGCTCTGGGGCTCGCAGCTCTGGGGTTCTGGGTGAGAGGACTGAGGTTCTAAGGTCTTGTCTTGCTGGGACTAAGAAGTGAGGCACCGTAGGGCGGGGTCTGTGAGAGCACTTCCAAGCCACAGTGCTGGACACTGGGTCTATCAGCTATGTTTTCCCCAAACTGCTGCAGAGGAAGGTGGGCTGAGGGAGGGGGCTGGGGAGGGGCAGGAATTCCCACTGAGCAGTAGGGCAGAGCTGTGGGAATAGAGAAGAAAAGACAGAGATGGGCACAGATGGAGCAGGAGAGAGCAAGGTCTGCGGACTCCCCTGAGGGAAAGCCAGGTGTCCTGGTCTAAACCAGCTGAGGGCAGCTGAGGCTGGCACTGTGTTTGAGAAGAGCCGAGAGAAGAGAAAATCATTCACTCATTTAACAAACATCCACTGAGCACTGGGATGCCCCACTGGGAGCTGGCCTGAAAAGATAGGAAGACCGAGCCCTCCTGTGTGCAGAGATCCCTGCCCTCCCATGAGTCTCTGCTTTCACCCAGTCTAACCAGCCTGCCAAAGGTCCCCCCAAAAGGCCCATCCCTCACAATAGCCACCATTCATTAGGGGGTCACTGAGTGCTGGCTGAACACTAAGCATTTACACAGATTAACATTTAATCCTCATAACAGCACCCATGTCACAGGTGAGAGGTAACTGCAGCTCAGAGAGGCTACTAGCTTCCCCAAGACCACACAGCTGAAAAGTAGAATTGCCCACCCTCATCACCCCACACTGCCTCTCCAAATGCGAGAAGCTTTTCTGAGGACCCTGAAGGTGACACGGGCAAGGGGTTGACACCACACACTCCACAGAACCCGGTATTTACTGGAGACCCACTGAAGGTGGCCACCAAGGATTTCTCCCTGCAGCCCTGGGGGCAGTGCCCCCGGGTCCTCCTGCCTCCTGCTCTGCTTCCTGCAGTGTCCCCCCCCCCAATGCAGCCCTCTACAGTGACAAATTTCTCCCCCTTCTGTAAAGCAGTGATCCCCCAACCCCCCACGACGGCCTCCATGGAAAGCCGGGTCCCCCTCCTCAAGAGCTTGCAAGACTGCTGAGAGCAAACATTTTGTCCCCTTTGTCACACAAAGTAATAGACTTGAAAAATCACATACTCAGAGGATCACAGCTGAATCTTGTAATCTGAGATTCTCCATCAAAGAATTTTAGAACCATCAGCTAATAGAATCCCAGAGTCAGTGACTCGAGAATCCCAGAACAGTACAATCTCTCCATCACAGAGCCGGCAGGGGCCGATGTCATGGAGCAGCCCGGGCCAGTAGGTGGACACAGGGCACACCAGGAGAGCGCCAGGGTCAGGGAGGCCAGGAGGCCTTGGAGCACAGAGGACAGGGAGGGGTGAAGGAGGGAGGCTCAGCCTGTTGTCATGCTAGACGAGGCAGTTGGCAGGTGAGGCCTGGCTCTGTTACTGATGGTTTTTAATTATGTAAATCATCCCAGGGCCTGCGCCTGGCACAGGCTTGGCATCCATCAGCTGGCAGCAGAATTAATCAATAAATAACAAGCTGGATAGGGCCTGGGCATGAGCACACAGCCACAACCCCAGCACCACCCCAAAGGGGTCCTCCCAGGCTGGCAGGGGCAGAGGGGCTACATGAAAGCTGTAGCTCAGATTGTCAGTGCACACATGCCATGTGCACACACACGCCCATGTGCACATGCATGCACACATGCCCTTGTGCACCATGCATGCAGCTGCACCTTCGGACCCATCACGTACACACAGGTGGACACACCTGCACGCGCGGACCTGCACACAGTCCCCCACCCAGAGCCCAGCACATGCCCAGGAAGAGCAGCAGGAGGCCAGTTCCTCATTCCAGCCTCATACTTGTCACCTCTCTGGTAACCACAACCCCAGCACCACCCCAAAGGGGTCCTCCCAGGCTGGCAGGGGCAGAGGGGCTACATGAAAGCTGTAGCTCAGATTGTCAGTGCACACATGCCATGTGCACACACACGCCCATGTGCACATGCATGCACACATGCCCTTGTGCACCATGCATGCAGCTGCACCTTCGGACCCATCACGTACACACAGGTGGACACACCTGCACGCGCGGACCTGCACACAGTCCCCCACCCAGAGCCCAGCACATGCCCAGGAAGAGCAGCAGGAGGCCAGTTCCTCATTCCAGCCTCATACTTGTCACCTCTCTGGTAAGACAGAACTGTGCAACTCATGGCCACACCACTTCACCACTACAAATGCCCTGTGAGGCTGGCCCAGCTGGGCTGGGGCTCTAGTTTCACAGATGAGGAAACCGAGGCTTGGAGAGGGGGCTTGTCCAAGCTTTTATCCAGGAGTCCTTCCTCCCTCCCCCTCCACTTGGCTTAAAGAGGCTGTAGACCCAGGAAAATGGCGGAAGGGAAGCTGGGGCGGGGAGGAATGCTGGGGGCCCCAAAGCTACCCAGACGATGCCCCCACCCCCAGGAGCAGGGCAGGCTGGGCGGCCCAGGCCACTGCGGGTCTGCCTGGTGGAGCTGGGCTCCACAGCTGTCTCTGCTCTCCTAGGGAGCCACGATGAATTGCTCTCTCCTGCCACTGGCATGCTCACTCCGGCTCCCCAGCGCTGCCCCCATAAATCAGCCTCCCCATCTCGGCCACGGCTGTTACTTGATCACTTTCCAGCATTGGAGGTTGGGGTTTTCATCCATCCCTAGTGGCAGGAGGGGCCTCAAATGGAGAATCATAAAATTAATGGGCACATCTCCTCCCCTCTTCGCCTTCTCTCTGCCTCTGGCTTCTGCCGGCTTCTGCTTCTCTCTGGTTGGGATCACTAAATACTGAATGAGGAAATGATTGGAGACATGAATGAGTTTCTGAGGCGTCGAGCGCTGTGGGTTTCTGTCTCTGGGTCTGGCTGCCTGTGCGGCTGGCTCAGCTCTCAGCCGCAGCTTCCCTCAGTCTCAGCCCAGGGGTTTCCCAGCAGCCACCTCCCTGGCAGGCGGGAAGTGGGAAGGGGCGCTGTGTGGTCGGAGCAGACTCAGAGGCCTAGAGGAAGGCCAGAAAAGGACCTCGAGAGCCTAGGACCCCCGGGGCAGTCAGCCTTTTGGAGCTGCCACTCCTTGGAGCAGCTGGTAAAAGCTGTGGGCGTCTGAAAAGGTCCGGGGTGCACAGTACTGGCACTCAAAACAGTATGGAGCAGTGGTTAATAGTTCAGCCTCTGGAGCCAGCCTCCCTGAGTACAAATCCAGGACCAGTCACTTAGTGGCTATGTGACCCTGGGCAAGCTGCTTTGCCACTCTGTGGCTCAGTTTCCTCATGTGTAAGTGGGGTGAGTAATAGTACCTGCATCAAAAGTGAGAGGGTACACACTCTTTAGAAGAGTCACAGGTGAGCATGGTTAAATGCTCTAAAAATTAACCACTGCTATCATAATTAGAGGCCCTGGTGAGCAGACCTTAGTGTGCATCAGAATCCCCTGGAGGGTTTTTAAAACCCAGATTGCTGCCCCCTCTACCTGCCCCTCAAAGTTTCTGCCTCAATATGTCTCGGGTTTGCATTTCTAACACTTTACCAACTGAGCGGACACAGGGATGGCTGGTCTGGGGACCACACTTTGAGAACCCACTAAAGCCCATGTTGGTGCCAACTATCCGGTCTAGCTTGCTCACCCACCCTATAACTTGGGAACTGACCAGAGAGGTGAGCATGTGCCCAAGGCCACACCCAGAGGGTGACCCAGGCCCGTCCTCCGCAGGCGGAGGGGCTCTCAGCTGAGAGGGGAGAATCCTGGGGGCAGAGGTGGTTCCATTACTACCACTAGCCTCTCTTCCCAGCCCTCCCGGAGGCAGAATTTGCCTTCCAGCCAGAGGTAATCTTTTAATCTCTTTGGCTTTAATCCTGTATTTAGCATAAACCGAATCTGCTTGGGGGCGGGGCCAGGAAACAGGACACAGCTCTCCTGTCCTGAGGAGGCTGGTGATCTAAGCTCTAACCCCACACTTCACCGCAGATCTCTCACCCCACCTGTGCCTTCCTCACACCGGGCTCCTGGCAGGCACTTCTAATAGGGGATGAGGAGGCAGAGACAGCAGCCTGATGGGGTGAGGCCAGGTGGGATCGCGCGTTAAAAGGACTCCACTTTGTGCAGTAAAGCTTTCTTAAACAGGACACACACAAAAAAAAAAAAGATAAATAGGGCTTCATTACAATTAAGAACTTCTATTCATCAAAAGATAATACTAAGAGTAAGAAAAGCCAATCCACAGATGCAGAAAAACATGTTTTAGTACATATATCTGACAAAGGACTAGTATCCAGCACATATAAAGAAGTCTTACAAATCAATAAGAAAAAAATAAACACAAATTTTTAAATAGGCAAAAGATGAACTGGCACTTCACAAAAGAGATCAAAATGGCCAATATTTACATGAAAAGACACTCAACCTTTGCAACTACTAGAGATATGCAAATTGAAACTATAACAAGCTACCATTCACACCCACAGGTATCGCCAAAATTAAAAAAGATTAAAAATAATCAAATACCGGAAGGATGAGGATCAACTCTCTTACACAGCTGGTGGGAGTGGCAATGGTTCACCCTGTTTGAAGGACAAGAGTTTCTTACAAAGCTAAGCATACACCCATTCAAGGACCCAGCCATTCCACTCCTAGGTATGAATCCAACAGAAATGAAAGCATATGTCTACACAAAGACTTGAACATGAATGCTCACTGCAGTTTCACTCATTAGGGCTCCAAACATAACACAACCCAAATGTCCATCAACAGGTGAATGAATAAACAAATGGTGGTCTATCCCCTCGGTGGAATATTACTCAGCAATAAAAAAAGAATCAGCCACCGATATACATGCCATGACCTGGATGAATCTCACAGGCACTATGCTGAATCCAAGAGACCAAAAGCAAGAGAACAGACCTGTTGGTAGGAAGTACAAAACAGGCAGAACAAACCTTGAGTGATAAAGGTCAGGATAGTGGTTTGGGGGAGCAGAGATTAGTGAGTTGGGAGAGACATGGGGTGCTGGGAATGGTCAGCAAATGTGTAAAATTCAGCAAACTGTACATTTAAAATCTGTACACTTCCTTCCCTTCTCTGTATGTAAAGTATACCTCAATTTTTTTTAAGTTAAAGTGAAAAAGAAATGAAAAGACACTACATTGGAATATCCCCCTCCCCCTTGGGACTCTAAGGACCTGGGACCCAGCACAGCTCTGCCACGGTGTAACTTTGAACTCATCATTTACCCTTTCTCAGCCTCAGTTTTCTCATCTGTAAAAGGGGGGTGTGAATCTCTGCCAACTTCGCCAGTCTGTGGGGAAGACCAGTGAAAAGGTGGAGGTGGATGTGCCTTGAGCAGTTAAATGTTCCCTCAGATTGTCTCAGCCCTGTGACCACCTCTCGGGGCTCTGCAGAAATAGGAGTGGAGCACGGACTTGGTCACTAGGCCTGGGAGGCATGGGTCTGACCTGCAGGAGATTGTCAAGGGTTCTGCCCAGACAGGCTGCCATCTGCTGGCCACCCACATCCTCAAGACTCCAGGCTACCACCACCCTGCTCTCCCTGGTGGACCACCCGGACCTCCTAGCTCAGTGCCAAGCTGTACCATCACTGCAGTCATCACAATTCCTTCTGGAAAATACCTGCAAGGCCCAGAACCCCATGCTTCTCCTCTCTACCCCCAGCCCCTCCAGGGTTGTCCAGCAGAACCCCTTTCCCAAGTCCAGAACTGCTACAGGACCCCAAGGGGGAAATAAAACCCCAATCTAGCAAGGCCCAGGTCCTGGCGCTCACTGCTGGAGCTCCTTCCTCTCATCCTCTCTGGCTGGTGGTCTGAAACAGTCATGTCACCTCAAAAAAGCAAAGCCTTGATCTTGGGATGCACAGGACCCTACCGTACTCTGTGGCAGGGACTGCACAGCACCCTTATAATATCTTGTCTCCCATTTATCTTAGTAGCAAACACTTGCACAGCAATGTGCCCAGCCAAAAGTTTCCATTTCCCAGCCTCCTTTGCAGCTAGGAGAGGCCAAGGAGGGGTGAGTTTAAATCATTAGAAGGGACAGAGAGGAACATTCAACCAGTCTGTACTTACCACCCTGGAAAGTAGATGTGATGATGGAGATCCAGCAGCCATCCTGGAGTATGAAGTGACTTTGAGGTTGGAAAACACATGCTAAAGTTAATGAGGCTGAAAGAAAGTAGATGCCTGGATCCCTGATGACACTGCTGAGCCCCCACCAGCCCTGGCTGCCTACCTCCTGACATCCTCTATGTGAAAGAGATAAGCCTCGATCTGGTTTAAGCCACCCATTATTTCCAGTCTCTGTTAACAGCAACCGGGAGCAATCCCTAACCAATACACAAAAGCCTTGTGAGGGAGCTACCGTATGCAGTCCCCACCTCCTGCACCCCTGTTTTGCAGATGCACTCCCAGCCACACTACCTTCCCTCTCAGATATCCATGATGCACAAAAGACCAGCATGCAAATCCCAGCTCCCAAACACCAAGAATCAGCCTTGGCCTGATGCAGACTGGGCCCCACAGCCCAATGTCAGTGGTGCTCCAAGTGGATCACTGCATCCAGAGCTGTTACACAAGTGCTGTTGGGGCCTCAAAGTGCTGGCCTGGACCACATGCCTGTTGTAGAGATAAAGGGGAAGCCGGAGAGTATTTACAGATCACAAAGAGCAAACAAACTAGCTAGGTGGGAGTAGAGTCTCCTTTAAACTACTCCATCTTTGCCAGGTGAAACTGAGTAGTTGGGCTGAAGCTCTCCGCTGAAACTGGTTTGTGCTTTTCCTGCAAGAAGGCGCACCGATAAGCCCACACCGTGGCCACCCTACAGGACTGTTCTACGACTCACGGCGCAGTGGCCAGGTACTTGGCAAGGGCACTGAGTTCAAATCCCTGCTCCATGAACTGTGTAATCTCCGGGCAAATTCCTTACCTCTTTGTGTCTTAGTTTTTTTTGTCTGTAAAATGGGCACCATGGGGTGGCTGTGAGGATCACACAGGTTGAGCTGGACAGAGCTGGAGCAGTGCCTGGCACACAGGAGGGGCTGTTAGCAGCCACGGCCTCACGTTCATGGTGAGAACTTCACTTCTTTACTGTATGTTTGTTATAGGAAACGGAATTCACTCATTTAAATTTAGTTTTGCAGCATTTCATCCACTGACTTTCCACTCACTGCTCTTATTACAGCTAACCCTCTCTAAAGTCTCCTGGCACCAGGAGGAGCGACCCAAAGCTTTTCTTCACGCTTAGGTTTATGCAAATAAAAGTAAGTGGTGATTATAAGCAATTCATTAGTGAAACTCAAGGTCAAAAATCACAATTTGTCCCTGTTGCTAAGGCAGGACTCAGAAGCTCCCGACATCCCAAATTATCTCCCCTCTGACACCGACTGACATTCCACCATTAGATCCACAGAACCCCAGGAGGAGAAGCACTTTAGGAGCCAAGCACCTGGGAGCAAATGCACGTATCCGCGTCAGCCAAGGGGGAGTGAATCCCGGCATGGAAAGGAAAGGAAACGCCACAGGCAAATGTTTGGACCTGCTGGGGCAACTGAGAATTCTGTAGCCACTAAAGACTGTGAGATCAGTCTCCCCCACCTACACACGCACACCCACCCACACCCACACTGATAATCGCTTTACCGCAGCAGTAGGGGCTTAAGCCGCTATCTAGGCTAGCCCTACCCCCACCCTGGCCGCCACAGCCTCCTCTGTCCCAAGGCAGGGTTCCCAGGGGCTCAGCACAGAAACCCTCAGGATGGGAAGCCGAATCCAGCAGAGCTAGCAGCTACCAACAGCAACACACAACCGTCTCTCTCTCTCAAGCACACACATGCACTCACGCACTTGTGAAAAGACTCACAGCAGAGAAAACATGCTAGACAGACACACACTGAACTGTCCTCCCAAAGGCATGACAAATCCAGACACTACACAGAGTCCTCGGACTAGGGAAACCACAGCTGTGCACTCCCAGAAGCCAGGGAGACACGCACAGGGAAACACTCACACACAGACCTTCTTCCCCGAGGCCTCTCTGCCTTGTGCCCGCCATTCCTGCCCCTAGCTAGGCATTCTGCTCCCAGAGGCTCTCAGCTCCCTGCCCCATGGGAGCCCCTGTCGGTCAGCATCTCTCGGAGCCAGACCCAGTCAGGGTCCCCTCCCTCCCCACCCCCAGTCCTGGTTCTCCGGCCCCGGAATCTCTTTACCCTCCCTCCCATCCTCTATTACCGGCCCTCCAGCCCTGGGAACTGTGGGAATCAGGAGCAAGGGCCGTGGCTGCCCTCTGTGTCCCCGCACCCACCCCAGGAGCTGCTCACAGTAGGTGCTGCTGGGCCCCAAGCCTCGTCATCCCCTCCCTGGGGCCCACTCCTCATCTCCCCCCCTCCTTGGAGATGCAGGCTCTTCCCATTTTCTAGCAAGGGCATGAGAACACGGATTAGAGCAATTAGAGAAAAGCCATTGAAGGGCAAGGCAGGCGCCACCGGCACACCTGATTACCATCTCCAGCAAAGGTGAAGCGCAGGCTCACGGCAATTACAGATTCACCCGATTCCAAAGCAGGGCGGGGCAGAGAGAGGGCAGACAAGTTCGTCTTAGATTCACCTGCTTGTGTTTAAAGCTGCTCTCTGCTCTTTGCAGCTGCTTTCACAGTCATGCTCCCAGGAGAGGCAGGCAGCGCAGAAATGATTTCAGTCCCATTTTGCAGAAGGGAAACTGATTCCCAGGAGATTGGGGAAGAGCAGTTGCAGAAGTCACAGGCCACTGGTCTTCCTGGCTGGAGGTGGGGGTCAGGGTGGCCCCAGGACCCCACTGGCCTTCGATCCTGCTCTCTGCGCATCAAGGGCTGAGGTAGAGGGTGGATTCAGGACCAGGCCACAGGCACTCTGCTGCTCAGGGTGGGCTCAGGGTGGGCTCAGCATCTGCACGTGGGTGACCTTGCCTTTCACCAAGTGGCAGGATTATTTAATTGATGGCTGCTCTCCCAGCCGGTCATGTTTTGTTAAGCCTGCTAAAGAGGACTCCTTGCATGCTGGCCCAGTATTTTTTTCCTCTGGCAATGAGGAGTGTAGGTTTTCTCAGAACCTGAGGCCAGGGAGCCCATTTTCATGCCTCCTTATCCCATAAGGCCTTTCCCAAGCCTGCCTGGTCCCTCTCCAGAAGCCCCCAGGCACCCTAACCTTCCAGCTAGGCCCACCTTGCCCTGGCCCTGTCCTGGGCGAGGAGCCAGCAGTGAGGCAGGAGTGCCCCCTGGTGGTGATAGCCTGCACTGCCCTCCAGGACTCCAATCAAGGGTCTAGGTAACTGTAAAGGGACGTACACACCTCCAGGACAGTCTGGCTAGGCAAAGGGAAGGGTAGGTGTCTGTGGAAGGAGCAAAGTCCCAAGAAGGAGCTTCATCAGGGCCTGAAGAAGCTGAGAAGGGCTCCATCCCTGTAACAGTAGTAGGGAGCATGGGGAGATCCCTGGTGGCAGGTAGGCACAGGCATGATCAAACAAGAGGCAGGGAGGATGGGCCGTCAAGCATGGCCCATCAGAGGAGCTCAGGAAATGTGGGACAGATGAATGAAGGAATGAGTGAATGAATGAATGAATGAGTTCATTGTTTGGTATGAATATCACTAGTGATTCACAAGGTAATTTTTAGATAATGGCAATTAACTTGTTTATTTTAAGAATTATGTACTTATTTTTGATGTGTGCTAGATGTGTCTGGCCCATCAAATCCATGACACAAAGTATCTTTTAAAAATAAATGTCTTTACCTAGGGCTTTGCACCTGCTGTTCATTCTGACTAGAACTGCTCTCAGTGAGTTTCTTGCATGACTAGTTTAGTCTTCAGGACTGCTTAAATGTCACCCCCAAACTTTACTATCTAACAGCTCTATATTACATTTTACAATCTGTAAACTGATTACAAGTTTATTGTTTTTCTCCAACTTCTTTAAAATAAACTTCATGAAGGCAGGAATAATTTCAGTATGTTACCCTTGTTCCCAAAACATAGAATAGTGTCTGACCCATGGTTACTCCACCAATAAACGTTGAATGAAAATACAAAAAATAAAAAATAAATGTCTTTAGGTACAAATGGATCAATGTAAAGAAACACAGTGGGTAAATAATGTGGGCATCTTAGGACCCAACATAGAAGGTGTTCAATAAATGTTAGTGTGATAAATGAATGAATGAAGAGATGACCAGGTGTGTTGTGCATGAACTTTATAAAGCAGTAGGTCCCAACCGTGGTTGTACAATGGAACCACCTGGGGAGCTTTAAAAATATCTATAGGCAGGTATGTATCTCTGATTGTCAGGGAGCTGAGAAGGGGTGTCCTGGACAGCTCCCCAAGGAAGGGAAACCCATAAGCACCCACTCTGGGTGCCATATAAGAGGCAGCCTGTCTTCACTGATAATGGAGATGGTGAAACTGCCATCATTGGAGGAAGTAAGCTGTGCCTGGGTGACCCAGGATTCCTGTGCTGAGTGTAAGTTTGGACTGCGTGGACTCAAAGGTATCAGGCAAGAGAACCGAGCTGATATTTATGTAAACTAGCTTCATATTGACAAAGTATTAAGTTGATGAGTACTTACTATGGTTTTAACATATTGATTAAGCATTTCTTATTTATTCACCCTGCACATCATGTTTTATTTGGCATATGTCTTTATCATTGGTTAACATAAATATTACATTAGTTGCTGTGCAGAACATATAGAATATTCCATCCTGGGTTTATTTACAAGTTAGTTCATTTATGGGAATTTCCTCCCATTAAAAAAAAATTTCCCTTCTTGAAAACTGTGACTAGTTAATTATGAACATATATTAATATAATGTAGTTAATGTGGTTATAATCGGTTTCTCTGTTTTAATTGGGTGCTGGTTTGCTCATAACAATTTTCAGTTACTTTTTTGATTAGAAGTTGGAGGAATGGTTTGGTGTGGACTTTTTAAAGGGGTGCTGTTTGCTTCTAAATCCACACAGTCTAGCATGTGTAGGTTGAGTTAATATTTGGTGTGTGAGTTGTTCTGTTATCTTGTTACATACTATTTACATACTATTGATAAAAGAATTTCCAGTCATGAGTCTTCATGGCTATATCTCTGAGAAGTAATTGATAAAAATATATTTTGTACTATTTGAAAAAATTGGCATACACCTTGAGATATGAGTCTGATTTTTTTATATCAGTTTAACGGTATTCAAGCAGCAGCTTTTTTAAAACTTTGAGTGGATTTTTAAAACAGGAATAGATTTGTCAAAGCACAGGGTCAAAACTTAGTTCTGTTGATGGCAAGTTATTCGATATTAATTCTGTTTTATGAACAAATGCAATTAAGTTGCAAATCCCTGAACACAGTGCAGTGTTCAGCAAATGTTTTAATCAGTATTAGCAAATGTCAGATTAGCATTCCCAAGGAAGAAAAATCTTTGGCATAATACTGGAAACCTACTTGTTAGTTTTAAAGCTGTGCCTTGCTCTCTTATGTGGCTACAGGTAATATAAATCAGTACATTCTCTCTCAGTGGAAATTGGACAGTATCTACCTAAACAATAAATGTGCGTTCTCTTTAATCCACCAGTCCTACTTCTAGGACTTTATTCTCTAATATACTCACATGTGAGCATAATAACATGTCTATGAGAAAATTCATTGTAGTGTCATTTGAACAGCACATGATTGGAAACAACCTGAATATCCTCCAGTAGAGTCCTGGCTAATAAAAACTGTATAACTATTCTTTGAAATACTACATGGCTGTAAAAAGAAGAGTAAGGACTCATCAACAACAAAAATCAACCCCCTTAGAAACTGGGCAAAAGATTTGAAAAGACACATAGAAGATATACAGATGGCCAATAAACACATTTACTACCACTCATCATTAGGGCAAGCAAATTCAACCACAATGAGATACCACTTCACATCCACTAGGATGGCTATCACTTTTTTAAGCAATAGAAAGTAGTAATTGTTGGCAAGGATGCGGAGATAGCAGAACATTTGTGCCTGACTGGTAGGAATCAGAAATGGTGTAGCTGCTGTGGAAAACGATATGGCAGTTCTTCAAAAAATAAGTAAACAGAATTATCATATGGCCCAGCAATTCCACTCCTGGGCATATTCCCAAAAGAACTGAAGGCAGAGACTCAAACAGATATTTGTACACCTGTGTTCATGGCAGTATTATTCACAACAGCTAAAAGGTGGAAGTTACCTCAAATGTCCATCAAAGGATGAATGGATGGATATACAACCTGTGACATGTACATCCGATAGAATAGTATGCAGCCATAAAAGGGGAGTTCTGTTCTGTGCTAACTGTGAAAACATTATGCTTAAATATTATCAAAAAGTTTTGGTTATGGTCGTACAACATTTGCATGTAATTAATGTCACTGAATTGTACACTTAAAATGGTTAAAATGGCAAATTTTATGTGACATATATTTCAACACGATTTTTTTTAAATTCATGATGTGATTTTTACAGGGGATGGGAAGCACCCTCTCTTCGATTACGGGCTGGCCTTGATTGCTGGTTCCGGTGAACTGATGCTGCCTGACTCTTCCTAG